CATTAACGGAAAAAGATGCAACAAAGTAAGGTTTTAAATAAAGAAGGGAATATAGACAGCAAGAACTTATATATCAGGGAGAGAAAATCCTCCCCAACCCAATAAACCCACCCCTAAACAACACACCTTCCCACAGGACCCAAGGTGACCCCCCAACAGAGTGGATGTTTTCCCCAAAAGGTACTTTCCAGAGACCAATGATCCTGAGTGGGCCTCCCCAGATTATTGAAGGGAACCGGAAAAATTTTTTGTCCAAAAGGATAAAACCATCCCAATTTAGGGGATTTTCCTTTTAACTATTAAATTTACATTAACCAGTAACATCGCAAATACTACGCGGCCACCTCTGAAGCAGCTGGGCCGGCCAGTTCTCGATAGCAATGACCAACATCAAAAGCTTTGCTATCGTCATTTCCAGCCCACGCCCCCGAAACGCAAAAAAAAAGGGAATTTAAAAATATCCCCCCGCAATTTTGGTTATGCAGTTATACATTTGTTTTTAAATGTGAAACGATGGGTAAGTGTTTTACCCATTCAAAAGAAAATGATTTATTGAATACACACACAACACAAGATTAAGATGCACCCAAAGTTTATTACCCCACCCCCACTCCCCCCCATCCTTTTCCCCTATTTCCCTCCTTACCCATCCTTTTTTCCTTTCCCTCTTACCCAAAACTTGTCATAATTCATTATTCTTCACTTATTTGGCACGCTCACACACACACAACCCCACACACCACAACACACACACCAACACACACACACAATTATATAATATATATTAATATATTATTATTTATATATATTTATTATTATAATTATGCCAAACCCCGAAAAAATAGGAAAAATTCCAACCTTTTTGACTCTACTTTTTCGGATTGGGATGACGAAAACCTTGGGAATTTTCCCATTTTTTTCCCAAATGGTTGTTTTTGTTTTGAAAAAACCTTTTTCGTGGGTCTTTTGTTATTTATAATTAATATAAATAAATTTTTATATTTTTTTTTATTTAAAAAAAAAATTTTTTAAGCTAATCATTATTCCAGCTGGGGCTTTTTCCTGAAACCAGGCTTTTCTTTTCTTTTTTGGATGAAAATGTGGGCAAATTTTACAACAAAGATACCCCAATCTGCCCATTGTCAATTTGTATGGAAAGGTTTTGGGGAATTATTTTTTTTTTTTATAATTTTAAAGGGAAAAGGGGAAAAATTCCCTTATAATGGTTTGGTTTTTTTTTGTAGGAAACAGAACAAATTTTTGAGAGGGTTTTTCTTTAAAACCCACAGTCTTTTTGGTATTACCGGTTCCATGGTTCCCCTCCAGTTTTAAAAATTTGTTTGATTAAATATTTTTGGAAAATAACATGAAACCAATTAAATACTCGTTTAAATTTTTTGTTTCTAGTAAATAAAAGGAAGAATTTTAGTTTTAAAGGATATTTTTTTTTAAAAAATTTTTATTATAAAAAATTAATATTTTTATTTTTTATCTTGCCCAGAGACGACTTGTTTAATACACAGGAGGAAAAATGAAAATCCCTCTCGGATGGACCAATAAAACCCCACCGCAATATATTTTTTAGGCTATTATTATTGGGACAAATTGCAAATGTTATATTGGGATTATAAATATAACCTTCGTGGCAGTCTTTTGGTAAAATAAACAAGACACACTTAGGGAAACTGGTTGAATTATTTTGTTTTCGGTTTTAAATAAAAAATAGATGTGTTTTAAGGCCCATTAAAAACTTAAAAAAACGATTTAAAAATTAATTTGCTTATTAGTTCGGGGGGGTTTGTACTTTTTTAGGGGGCGGACAAAGGGGAATTGGATTACTTCCCCCTTTTGTGCCTAAAACCTTGTCCATGGCTTTTTTGCCCCCGGTTTAGCGCTTTCCCCATTTATTTAACCTGGGAAAGGGTAAAAAATAAAAGATTTATTATTTTATTAACTGGGGTGGGATTCAGTCACTTCGATCGGAACGGGGGAAAATCCTCCAAAAAATTGGTTTTTTTAAAAAAGCTTTCCCAGGCATCAAGGATTTAATTATTAAAAAGGGATAATTGTTATCCCGTTTTTTAATTTTTTAAAAAAAAAACAAGACTTTGTGAATTAAGCCCCCGGGCCCCCCTTTGGGCGGAACAAAACTTTTTTACCAACCCCAATCAATAGTTATTAAAGTCCAATTTTACTTATTATGAAAATAAAAAACCAGGAATTAAGTTTAAAAATTTCCCAAATTTGTTGTAACAAAGTGAACGCAGATTTTGAAAAATCCAAAAATTAATGTTAAATTTTGGGCCTAGTTTAGGTTTTGTGTACCAATGTTTTGTGTAAGTCCCAAAGGATATATGGGGGGAAAAAAAAATAAAATTGGTGGTAAAAAAAAATCTCTGGGAGGAGCTTCAAAATAACTAAAACTTGCCTCCTAAAGTCAATTAACACCACCAGTGAGCTGCCAGCTTCTCAAGACTCGGTCCTCCAACTACCACAAGACAGTTGCAACAGAGGCTGCTGCTCCTGTTTCTACAGTCAGTCCCATGAGCACCTTGCTGCTGTGTTAAGCCAACGCTTAACACATGCTGCTATGTATGATAATTCTATGTAACTATTTGTGTATACCTGAATCAACTTATTATTATTATTATAATCAAAAAGAAGCGCTAAGCCACAAGGCTATACAGCACCTGAATCAACTTACTTGCCTGTCCCATCATCCCACATGGGCGTCTTACCTAAACTCTCCTGTTGTTGTTGGAGACATGGATGGCCATCACTGCCTGAAATGTTGTGTATTATATAGGCTCTCTAATTAACGACCGCCTGTAGAATATATATGAAATAAACGGAGGAAGCATCATAGAGAACGTGAGATGATTATAGCTGCAGCAGCATTCACGCAGTCTTGCCATTTTGTGAGAAATTCCCATAAATTTGTGGGAGAACTGACCTTACGTGGGAACGTTTGTGGGAGGACATTCATACCATTATAATTGTGGGATAATTCATGGGCATTTTATGTCATGTAGGATTTTTGTGGAAAAAAAAGCCCACACTAGTAAATTTATGTGAAAATATTCACAGACCGACATATATTTGATATTAATAAAATAATGGTATAGGTAAATTACATGTCAAAATAAAAGATTTACTAAGTTGGCGAACACGTTCATGTATATTGTAACTAAATTTAGTATTTTTCTTCGTTATTCTGCGTAATATCAAGGTTAAGTTTGTTCTAAAATATACTTTCCATTGATAGTGAAAGTGGAGAAGAGTTGGATATAAGTGGGACTTGTATATGAGTAAATAGAGTTATCAAAGCTTATTTATTCCTTGGGTAGAATTGAAAATGGGTTGGGCAAATATTTTTGTAAGTGGGTTTGGGTTCAGAAAGACCTGCCTAATATGGGTCAGTAGGCCTACTGCAGTGTTCCTCCTTTTTTTATGTTCATTACCCTGCGTTCATTGTATGAATAAATGGTTTACAAAACCGTCAGGTTGATAAATGAGACACTTGGGCAATATTTGGGTATCTTTATTCTGGAAACGTTTCGCCACACAGTAACAACTTCTGTCCAATGCCAAAAAAAGGTAAGTAAGTAGTAAGTTTATTCAGGTATACACAAATACAGTTACATAGAATTATCATACATAGCAGCATATGTGTAGAGAACCTAGGATAACCCAAAAAAGTCAGACAGAGTGACTTATTTCCATTGGAAGATGAGTTTTAGGTAATCAGTTCCTCAGTCTGGAGTCGATGGACTGAATATAGACTCCAGGCTGAGGGACTGTCTACCTTTACCTAAATACAATTAAATTGTCTTAATAACATTTTTGTTGGAAAATTTGTGGGATTTACACATTATGAGGGAGAATTGTCCCATAAAATTCCCTCAAGTAAGTAAATTTATTCAGGTATACACAAATACAGGTACATAGAATTATCTTATATAGCAGCATATGTGTAGAGAACCTAGGATAACCCAAGAAAGTCGGAAATAAGTCACTCTGTCTGACTTTTTTGGGTTATCCTAGGTTCTCTACACATATGCTGTTATGTAAGATAATTCTATGTAACTGTACCCCTCAAGGAAGGTTCCTTGATGTTGGTGAGGGGCTCTTGATTTAGGGAATTGGATCTGTGCTCCAGTTCCCCGAATTAAGCCTGAATGCCTTCCACATCCCCCCCCCCAGGCGCTGTATAATCCTCAGGGTTTAGTGCTTCCCCCTTGATTATAATAATAATAATATATAACTGTATTTGTGTATACCTGAATAAACTTACTTGTGGGAATTTTATGGGACAATTCTCCCTCATTTGTGGGAAGTAACAGAGATAAGAGCTGTAAAGTAAAAGGACACAAGTGCAACTCATGTGACATTTTATTGTGGCAACGTTTCGCTCTCCAGGAGCTTTATCAAGCCGTTACAAACAGTACATGGATACAGAGGGTATATATAGGCTCAGAGTGAGGTGCAACACTAGTAGTGGTAGTAGTAGTAGTAGAAGTAATACAATATGCCTTGAATCTTCACTAATAGCTATTTCTAATACAATTAAACAAAACAAAGGCAGCTTCACCATCTCTGAAGTCTTAACAAGAATCCTGTAAACAGTAAACCCTGCCATCATATAGTCTCTCCTGTTAATACTACACAAGCACATTACAGAGAATGAACATTGAAACAGGCCCCAATATAAATATTTGTCTAACCAAATTTTTATGTTTCCCAAGTAATAGCCTTTATATCGTTTACTCGTGCAAGTTAATTGTTCGACATATTGTATCACTACTACTAACTACTACTAGTAGTAGTATTGCACCTCACTCTGAGCCTATATATACCCTCTGTGTCCATGTACTGTTTGTAATGGCTTGATAAAGCTCGTGGAGAGCGAAACGCTGCCACAATAAAGTGTCACATTAGTTACACTTGTGTCCTTTTACTTTACATATTGTCGGTAATTCTACCAACTTTATTACAGAGATAAGAGGTGCTGGCAACACTGCAGCAGCTGTGTCAGACAACAACATCTTCCACACAACGTTCTTTCTTTCTCCCTTCGGGGAAACAATAAATCTTTTTTTTTTTAGTGAGGCTGAGAGCAGAATGTCAGGGAGTGTGGACCTCAGCTCGTACAGGGACCAGCACTTCAAGGTACGAGACTTTCTGCTCATTTCAGACCACAAATGACCCCAATGAAAATAAGTCACTCTGACTTTTTTGGGTTATCCTGGGTTCTCTACATATATGCTTTCTGCTTTCTATTTCCTTTTGATTATAATAATAATACATATATGCTGCTATGTATTTGGACATGATACATAGATGTTCAAAGAATTACAATGGTTATGGTAATCTATGTAACTATTTGTGTATACCTGAATAAACTTTACTATTAAGAGCAGCGCTGTATAGCCCTTGTGGCTTAGCGCTTCATTTTGATTATAATAATAATAACTTTACTATTCAGACCAAACGGTAATCAAGTATTTATGAAATATGTTTCTTCTGGTTCTCGTTTCTTGCTGCAAGATTCCATGTTGCATAAGTGTTCTCAATCTTCAACTGGCCGGTTTTGAAAACCATTTATCACAGTATTTATTTTACAAAAATTAATGTACTTTACGGAAATGGGTCCTTCCCAGGAAGGACAGCCAAAAAATGTGTATTTTCTGATTAGATTTCTTAGATAAGCAAATGTTACATTTTAGGTTTGTGTATCTCATAAGCATATGGAGGGTTGCCAGTGCTGTATGACCCTTGTGGGTTTAGTTCTTAGTTATGATTAAAATAATTATTATTAGTAATGTGGAAGGTTGCTTCAGTACTGTTAGCTAAATGGAATGTTTGTCCTGTCATCTTGGTTAAAAGATTTTCATTCCACTAGTTGCATTTATGCTATCACTGTTTATTGTCATTTATTTTTCCAATCAGTACAGGAATAACTTACTCCTCAGTTCCCTTTTAGGTGATGCCGATGAAAGGCTCTTCATCTAAGGAATTGGTGCTATACTTCCCTTCCTTTAATTGAATCTGATTATCTTTAATACCTCAGACACTGAGTGAATGACCTCTAAGGGTTTAGCACTCTCTCAAGACTGTAAATGATATAATAATATTAAGTCTCAACATTATATGAAAGGTTACCACATCCTGTATACTTGTGTATAAATAAACCACCTATATACAGTACAGCAGTGCACTCAGAAATTAATTTGACACCATAATTTACACAAAAAATCTGCCACTGACTTAATAGCAAGGAAGCAAGGTAGCCAGGTGCATTGTTGTCGATTTTTTTTTTGCATGCATTACATTATCGACTGTGTACATTGTGTGACTAATTAATGGTCCAAGTCATACTGAAACGTCAAAAATTTCTTTCCTTTGTGCAGGTTATTAGTGTATTATTTCAGGAAGGGTTTGAGGGTGGGGGCAGGGAAGGCTTTGAATGATAGGGGTTTGGACATCCAGTAGGCTTGTGCGAGTGTGCTAGGAGTGAGTGGGGGGGGGAAGTGGTTTTGATAATTTGATTTTATATATGAATAGTTTTAATATCAGCATAACTGTTAATTCATACTAAAGTTTGCTAATAATAATGTTTTTTTTCTGTTAAATTTTGTTTGATATTTTTGTAAAGATGAGCAAATTTCTTGAAATAAGATGTGTTCAGTGTTAGGATATTTTAGCTCGATCTCTAGCACACTCGGCTTGCACACTAAGGTCCGGAGTTCGAAACCCCGGTACAACTGGATAACATTAGGATGTCTTTCCATAAGACACCTGCTGTCCATGTTCACCCATCAGTATAAAATGGGTACTTGGGTGTTAGTCGACTGGTGTGGGTCGCATCCTGGGACAAAACTGACCTAATTTGCCCGAAATGCTCTGCATAACAAAGCAGCTTTCTATATAGTACTGTAATATGTCATTGATGTCAGCTAGGCCTGTATACCTTGTACATGTAGCTATGGAAATAAGGATGTTATTATGTTATTACGTATTATTATTAGATCAGTTCTGAAGAAGCCATTAGTGGCAAAAACGTTTCCTCGGCAAAATAGCCTAAACATTGGAAAAGTCTTATTTCACATTTGTTGGTATTTTATACCGTCTCGTATTGAGTTAATCAAGTATTTTTGTTCATGTTTTTGGACACATTACAGCTGCTCATCTATTGATTACCGTATTTTGTGACTTATAAGACTTGCGTTAGTGTCAATGGCTCGGCATCAGATGTAATCGGGAAAGCCACAGCCTGCCCCTCACCCCAAACTTATAGCTCTCGTCACTGACCTTCACTTTATAGGACGCAGGGTGCTTTTTTGGAGACATTTTATGGAAAAAATGCGTCTAAAGCTGGTTTCTTGAGTTCTGTTCTTTTGTGAGGTCTGCACCTGAAGAATAAGGTGGTGATTTTTCAGTGAAATGGTGGAGTGTTCTTTGCTGTTTAGAATCATGTACAGTTGAAAATGAGTTTCAAGTAATGGAAAAGATAAAGCAGTAAAAGCAGTTGAGATCTATATTATGAAAATTTAGAAAATGGAGAGATGTCAAGATGTGCATGGTTGGGAATTGATTGGATTCCTGGCAAAATTATGTAAGCTATAAATATCATTATGTTTGTAGATTGAGGGATAGCACATTTCTTTGACAGTTGTTGATGGAAGTGAAATATGAAAATAGTAATAAACAGGTTAGATCAACTGGGCTGTCATGGTTGTATGGGCCAGTAGGCCACCAACAACAACTTGGTTGATCAGGCAGTCAACAGAAAACCCAGGCTGCGAGAGTAGGAAATCTTTGAAACCAGCATAGGCATATACTGTATATCACAGGTGTATGTAAATCTAAAATACAGATAGTCAAAATGAACCATTAAGAAATGTTTTTTGTATAGGTAGGTGGCAAGGAATAAAGAATAGAGAAATGCATGGAAAATGTTGGGATGTCAGAGATGAGAAGTGCGAGGTGGCAGGGTAGGCTAAGAGAAATACTTCACAAGGATGTCTTAGGATAGACTTGTAAGAAAAATATACAAGAGTTTAAGCATGTAGGTTTAGGGGTGGGTATAGTTAACGACCATGATGGAGAGGGGAAGGTGGATTATACATAGATAGTTCTCATATGGTATTGGCAGAGTGAATATAAAACATACTAGAAGAATATTCAGAGTAGTATCTGTAGAATTTTCTGCTTTGGAAGTGCTGTATCTCGTAGTTTGCTACCTGGTTTTGTAACATTTCATGTGTTAGGACACCATCAGTCTCATCATAAATTTTAACACACTCTTTATACCTGTGTATTTTTTAGCATCTAGGATTTAAGGGTAGAATTCAAGTACTGTATGCTGCTTTTTTTAGTTTAGGGGTGATGTACAACTGCAGCTAAATAAAGTAACATATATATAACTGATGAATAGAGTATTTTCTAGTATTAGAGTATACTGGATTGTCATTGTGAGATCCATGTCTTTGGTAAGGTATTCAATATTGCACTTACATAAAATATATCTACAGTATTCAGCTTACAATGTATAGTTTCAGTTTACAAATGCATTGATGGCATGAGTGTGTTAGTATTATTATTTTTTCCTCATCTCGTACAGGGTTCAAGGACAGATCAGGAGCGTCTGTTACGCAATTCCAGCACACTTTATGTTGGCAACTTGTCCTTTTATACCACTGAAGAGCAGCTCTATGAATTATTTGGACGTGCAGGAGACGTAAAACGTATTGTAATGGGCCTTGACAAATTTAAGAAGACTCCATGTGGGTTTTGTTTTGTTGAATATTTCACCAGGTGAGTGATTGTACTGATAGCAGACATTGTATAGTACTAGTAAGCTTTCTCCTTTCTCCTCTCCTACCCCCTAAACCTGAATTCCTCATAATGTGGAAATGAAACTACAGTAATACTTCATATATGATCTTGAAAAAATTACATGCAGTATTTGAAAATGTATGTAAAATAATTAATATGCATTAGTTTTAATAGTAGTACTGTGATCACTCTTAACTGTCTTCATGTCATCCAGAGCCATGATAAACCAACCCTCTTATAAGTTAAATTCTGGTCTTCAACTAAAAATGGTTTGAGATATGTACATGCTCAGAGATTGCATATCAATAAATAACAACAAGCATTTAACCCTTAAACTGTCCAAACAGATCTACGTTTGCATGCGTAGTGCTCCAAAAGTAGATCTATGTTTTTTTACATATTTTAAAATATAAAAAAAAAAAACAAATGTAGATCAAAGTTTTTTTACACATTTTCAAATGTAAAAAAAAAAAAAAAAAAAAAAAAGGTCTACGTTTTTTACATACAGTGGACCCTCGACTAACGCTATTAATCCGTTCCTGAGAGCTCATCGTTAGTCAAGTTAATTTTCCCCATAAGAAATAATGGAAATCAAATTAATCCGTGCAAGACACCCAAAAGTATTGAAAAAAAAAATTTTAACACATGAAATATTAATTTTAATACACACAAACTGAAGAAGACATGCACAGTTACATAACACTTACCTTTATTGAAGATCTGGTGATGATTGATGGGATGGGAGGAGGGGAGAGTGTTGATGGTGTTAGTGTTTAGAAGGGGAATCCCCTTCCATTAGGACTTGAGGTGGCAAGTCCTTTTTTGGGGTTACTTCCCTTCTTCTTTTAATGCCACTAGGACCAGCTTGAGAGTCACTGGACCTCTGTCGCACAACATATCTGTCCATAGAGGCCTGTGCCTCCCATTCCTTTATGACATTCCTAAAGTGTTTCACAACTTTGTCAGTGTCACAATTAAACACTTGTTCAGGTTTCAATTCTTCATTGTCTATGAACTCCTTGAATTCCTGCACATATTTTTCAGCTGCTTTTTGGTCCAAACTGGCAGCCTCACCATGCCTTATCACACTATGTATGCCACTACGATTCTTAAATCTCTCAAACCAACCTTTGCTGGCCTTAAATTCACTCACATCACCACTAGTTGCTGGCATTTTTCTAATTAAATCCTCATGCAACTTCCTAGCCTTTTCACATATGATCGCTTGAGAGATGCTATCTCCTGCTATCTGTTTTTCATTTATCCACACCAATAACAATCTCTCAACATCTTCTATCACTTGCGATCTCAGTTTCGAAAACATAGTTGCACCTTTGGCAAGAACAGCTTCCTTGATTGCCGTTTTCTTGGCCACAATAGTAGTGATGGTTAATTGGGGTTTTGTGTACAGCCTGGCCAGCTTGGAGACACACACTCCACTTTCATACTTAGCAATGATCTCTTTCTTCATATCCATAGTAATTCTCACCCTTTTTGCTGTAGGGTTGGCACTAGAAGCTTTCTTGGGGCCAATGGTGACTTATTTTGCAGGTGCAATCACTAAAAAGGCTGTGATAATATGAAATGTTCCGATTGTATGCTTGGAAGCGACCGCGGTGGCTGGCTGGCTTGTAAACACTGGCCAGAAGTGGACGCATCTCAGACGGAGCGAATAGTGTTAGTCGAGTTTTTTAGCGCTAGTCGAGGCAAAATTTTTGCGTTAAAATGTATCGCTGGTTGGATTTATCGTTAATCGATGCCATCGTTGGTCGAGGGTCCACTGTACTTTCAAATGTTGAAAAAACGTAGATCTACGTTTGGACAGTTTAAGGGTTAATATCCATTAAAAAAGAATTGTTCACCTCATATAAAAATAGTCATTGTTTGCAAATTGAGGTTATTACAGATTAGTTTTTATATATTTTCTCAGGGAATTTTTCATCTGTAAATAAAATTTTCGGTCTAGCAAGGGTAAATCAGTAAGTGGTAAGAGGCAGAAGACTTTTTTTTAACAACTTAACAAAAGCTTAAAATGATACTATGTAGTCAGTAAGTAAAAAAAAAAAAGTGATGCAGTATACATTTTACTGCTCTTCAACGGTACTGGTGCATCAGATAGTGACGTACCTGTGACCAGTTTGAGGGTTCTTCTTCTTTCACAGACATGCCTGAGACCAGATTTCCTAGTTGACTGCTTGGTCAACCAAGCTGTTTGTAGCTGGAGTGTATAGAAACCCTCAAATACCAAAATTTAAATGAAGCAGTGTACAGGTGGTTCGCGCAGTAGCATATTAACTGGCGTGGGGTATCCCCCACAAGGAATTAATATCGATGGTTGATGGATTGACTTTCACCCTAGGAGTAACTGATCAATTTAAGTGATGGCTAGGTTGTGAAAATTAACAGTAGGCAAAGACTTAGAAATAGATAGTGGGTGAATTCTTAAGTGCATATGTAGATTGTTTCATGTTTTATGGAGATAAACCAGAATTGCATCAAATATACATTGTATAATGCTGATTTTTGGTTGTATTGGAAAGGTTAAGGAACGCCTTGGTTAATAGAGTAGAGGATGTTTCCAAACCATACGGTATGTAGATGCGAGTGTGCATGCGTGTATGTGTGTACTCACCTATTTTTGATTGCAGGGTTTGATTCATAGCTCCTGGCTTCACTGGTTGCTACTAGGTCTACTCTTTCTCCCTGCTCCATGAGCTTCATCAAACCTCTTCTTGAAGCTGCGTTTGGATCCTGCCTCCACTACATCACTCTCCAGACTGTTTCACTTCCTGACAACTCTGTGACTGAAGAACATGCTAACATCCCTATGACTCATCTGAATTTTCAGCTTCCAGTTGTGAATCCTTGTTGCTGTGTTCCATCTCTGAAACATTCGGTCCCTATCCAACTTATCAATTCCTCTCAGTATATTATAAGTCGTTATAATGTTCCTCCTATCTCCAGTGTTGTCAGGTTGAGTTCCCATAACCTCTCCTTGTAGGACATACCCCTCAGCTTTACACTTTCTCTGATTTCTTGATGTGTTTGACCAGGTGTGGGTTCCATACTGGTGCTGCATATTCCAATATGGGCCTGACACACAGTGTACAGTATTGTGAATGACTCCTTGCTTGGATGTCAAAATGCTATTCTCAGGTGTCCATGTGCTGCAGCAATTATTTGTTTGATGGGTGTCTCAGGGGATATGCTCACCCCAAGATCCTTTTTCTTGAGTAGTTTTGCAGCCATTGACCTCTTAGTCTGCATTCCATTTGATGTCTTTGTCTTTCCCCAAGCTTCATAACTTTGCACTTGTTGGGAGTTAAACTCAAGGAGCCATTTGTTAGACCAGGCTTGCAGCCTGTCCAGATCTCCTTGTAGGTGTACTTGATCCTCTTCTGCTTGTATTCTCATCATTAGCTTCACATCATCTGCAAATAGGGACACCTCTGAATCTATCCCTTCTGTCATGTCATTCACATATACAACCGGACCTAGAACTGACCCTTGTGGACCCCCACTCGCCACGTGAATCCACTCTGACATTTTGTCTCATACCAACACATGTTGTTTCCTTCCTGTCAGGTATTCCCTGATATATTGCAGTACTTTTCCCTGCTATTCCTTCCTGTTTTTCTAGCTTTTCAACCAGTCTCTTGTTTGGGACTGCGTTGAAAGCCTTCTTAAAGCTCAAGAAGATGCAGTCTACCCATCCCACTCTCTCCTGTTACCTTATTGTAGAACTCGGTAGGTTTGTGACACAGGATTTTTCTTCCCTGAAGCCATGCTGGCTGTCATATATGAGCTCCACCATTCTTCTGATAATCTTTTCCATAACTTTACATACTATACATATCAGTGACATTGGTCTGTAATTTAGTGCAGCCTGTCTCCTTAAAAATTGGGACTATGTTTGCTGTTTTATATACCTCAGGCAATTGTCCTGTTTCAATAAATTTATTGAAGATTGTTGTTAGTGATGCACACATTGCATCTGCTCACTCTCTTAGGACCCAAGGAGAGAGAGTATCTGGGCCCACAGCCTTCGAAGTATCTAGTTCTCCCTAGCAGTTTCTTCACCTCCTCCTCGCTTGTGTGCAGTGTGTCCAGCACTGGCTGGTGCACCCTACCACCTCGGTTTGTTAGAAGCCTCTGTCTCCACTGTGAATACCTCCCTGAATTGTGAGCTTAACTCTTCATATACTTCCTTGTTGTTCCCTGTAAGCTCCCATCCTTCCATCATTCCTTCCTCAGCCTGATTACCTGGTCCTTGACTGTTGTTTTCCTCCTGATGTGGCTGCATAACAACTTTGGGTCAGATTTATCTTTGGATGCTATGTCATTTTTGTATTGATGCTGGGCTTCTCATCTTATCCATGCATATTCATTCCTGGCTCTTCAGCTCAGCTTCCTGTTTTCCTGGGTACTTTGCCTTCTATACATTTTCATGCTCTAGCACACTTGGCTCTGGCCTCTCCACACCTTTGAAACTATGGGCTCACTCTGGTCTTCCTGTAGTTTCTGTTGCCCCTTGGCACAAACTTTTCCATTGCCTCCATGCACTTTGTGGTCACATTTTCCATCATTTCATTTACTGTCTTTCCCCTATCTCACTTACCCAATGCACCAAATATAGGAATTGCCTCATACTTGTGTAGTCCTCTTTATGGAAGTATGGCTTCTCTTGTCCTTCTCATACTGTTTCAGTCTCTATTGTTGACTCTACTATGTATGTATGTGTGCATTCATGTACACTCACCTACAAGTGGTTGCAGGGATTGAGTCTCAGTTCCTGGCCCTGCCAAGACTAGTCTCTTTGGAAACCTCTGCACTTTTTCAAATTTCTTGATATGCTTGACCAGGTGTGGGTTCCATACTTGGCCTGATTTACAAATACAGTGTCATGAATGACTCCTTACTTAGATTTCTGAAAGCTAGTCTTAGATTTGCCAGACATGCATTTGCTGCAGAATTTATTCTGTTGATGTGCACTTCAGGCGATATGCTCATGGGTGTGCGTGTGTTTTCATACGTATGTGTGTGTGACCTGACGATCTGTTGGAGTGTGAGCAGGGTAATATTTAGTGAAGGGATTCAGGGAAACCGGTTATTTTCATATAGTTGGACTTGAGTCCTGGAAATGGGAAGTACAATGCCTGCACTTTAAAGGAGGGGTTTGGGATATTGGCAGTTTGGAGGGATATGTTGTGTATCTTTATATGTGTATGCTTCAAAACTGTTGTATTCTGAGCACCTCTGCAAAAAGAGTGATAATGTGCGAGTGTGGTGAAAGTGTTGAATGATGATGAAAGTATTTTCTTTTTGGGGATTTTCTTTCTTTTTTTTTTGGGTCACCCTGCCTCGGTGGGAGACGGCCGACTTGTTGAAAAAAAAAAAAAATGTGTGTGTGTTCATACATGCATCTATATGTGGTAGTGGAGTCAAGTCCTAATTCCTCTCTCCACCTCTCGTTTATCTCTTGGCAGATTGACTCTCTCCAGCCACATGGGCCTTATTGTACCTATTCTTAAAATTATGTATGGAGTCTACCTCCACCACTTCGACAAGGTCATTGCACTTCCTGACCACTTCGAGACTGAAAAAATACTTCCTGACAGCCCTTTGACTCATCTGTGTCTTTAATTTCCAGCTGTGCTTCCCAAGTACACCTGTTTTCTACCTCTGACAACCTGTCCCTGTCTGCTCTGTCAATTCCCCTGAGTATTTTGTATGTTATCATGTGTCTTCAGTGTCATTAGATTCACTTCTTTTAGCCTCTCTTTTAGCTTATACTCCTTAATTCTAGAACTAGGCTTGTTACTTCTGTGTATGTGTGAATATGTATGTTTATGTGTGGATATGTACATGTGTGTGTATATATATGTATATATGCTTGTGTGCATATACATACACAAGAATGAATGAATGAAAGGACGAGGTACGCAGTTTGTAAACAGCACAAGAAGTGGTGCTGAGCTGGACTAAAGAAGTTTGATGACTAGGCTGAAAATATTAAATAACTATTTCTAAGATGTTTGCCTCTTGAGTAGTATGTTTTCAGAGCTGGAGGTTCAAACCTCCACCACTTCTTGCACTGAATGACCATCACATGCTTAGTGATTAATATAAATCTGCAAGTGTATATGAGTACTCGTACTAATTTCTTGTGACTACCCAATAGTAAAAGATGTTATGCAAATTTCATGATCACTGACTTTTTTTGAAATGAATTCATTTAATATTTTTATATTTCTTCTGGAATGCTGAACACTGAAGGGCTCTTGATCCAAGGAATTGTAGTAACCCTCCTTCCTTGAATCAAGCCTGATTGCCTTCCCATTCTCCAGGCACTATATGATAATTAGGGTTTAATGCTTCTCCATAAATATATTACTTCTTAACCCTTTGGGGGTTTCGATCGTACTAGTACGTCTTATGACCCAGGGTTTTTGACATACTAGTACGCCTGAATTCTAGCGCCCTCAAATCTAGTGAGAGAAAGCTGGTAGGCCTACATATGAAAGAATGGGTCTATGTGGTCAGTGTGCGCAGCATAAAAAAAATCCTGTAGCACACAGTGCGTAATGAGAAAAAAAAAAACTTTGACAGTGTTTTTGGATTAAAACAGCGACTTTGCACTGTATTTTCGTATGGTATTTATTGGTGTATTCTAGTTTTCCTGGTCTAATTTTATAGCATGGAAGACATATTACAGAAATTGAGATGATTTTGACTGGTTTTACAATGAAAAGTACCTTGAAATTGAGCTCAAAGTAGCAGAAATGTTCGATTTTTACCAAAGGTCAAAAGTAAACAAATCATGCCAAGCGTCCAATACACATCAACTGGTGAGTCTAATATTCTTTCACAAGTGCGCTGATATTATTTATACCATTTCTACACTAATGCAGTAGTCTGCATAACAGTAAATCTTATTTTTTTTGTAAGAATAAAAATTCAAGGTGGAAAGCCAAAGAAATACAAGAGGGGCCTGGGGATGTGACTAACGAACAGAGAACTTGTTGTTTTAGTGCCAGGAATGTCTTTCTTGTTTATTCTGGACCCTATTCGGAAATTGGCATCTTTTGAAATTTGTGTGAAATTGGAAAAATTGTTAAATTCTGACCACTTTATTGGATAGTTGAAATCGGTAAATGGGTGGTTTCTTGTACTCATTCGATAGAAAAAATGGAGTTCTAGCGAAATAGTTATGATTTTTGTCGACTAGTACGCTGGAATTGGCCGAAAATAGGGCTCAAAGTGGGCAAAATTGCCGATGCATAAACATCGTCGAGACCGCTCACTTCGCGAGAGCATAATTCCGTAAGTTTTCCATCAAATTTCATACTTTTGGTGTCATTATGATCGGGAAAAGATTCTCTATCTTTTCATAAGAAAAAATAATTTTTTTTTTTAAATTTGGCCGACCCTGAGAACAAGTCTCTGAGAGGACCTGTCGACCCCCAAAGGGTTAAGAAGTGATGTGCCCATCTCATAAAAATGGGAAACTGGATAGTTAGGGCTGCAAGGTAATCTAGCATTGCCTAATAGGAAGGGGCATATAGTCTAGGTATGCTAGGTGAGTGCTGCACACCTACCAAAGATGATAAATTCATCATAAATATTAAGTTGTATCATGATATGGCACTGGGTGGATGGTGGGATAATGGGAGAGTGACCAAAATAATGTTGTTTTTGTGGTCAGAAGTTGTTTGTATAAATTCTTTGAAAATTCATTAACTGAAGCTGATTTTCTAGATAATAATTCTGTTCTTGCAGTATCATGATATAATCGGTTTTCAGATCTAATAATACACACTCAGAAATAAGAAACAAAGATTGTCAGGGCAAAGTCTGGGGCTGTTGACGTAACAATATTAGCTGTTGTTTACAGTGGTGATGGGAATACTTTAACCTGGAAAGGTGTGCATTGATATGCTTGGTCAGTTTTGTGATTTTCTTGCTTTCTTGAGTATTTTATATGCCAGAATTTATTAACGTTGATCTTAAATACTATACAATTACAGTGATATGATTTTTTAAGTATATTTTTTATACTGTAATTCATGATTTTCTTGTGTATGCCAGACTTTATTAATATTGACCAATATGTACTATGTAGTCACAGTAGTACGTGATTTTTTAAAGCATATTTTTTATTACTGTAATTGTAGATTTTTCACAATGGCAAACAGTGTTAAAGATATATAGTACTAGAAACTCCATTTTCCTCCAGAATTTACGGGGAGAAATTGAAAGTTGTAAACAGTGGTAAGCCTAAGCCAGCACTCCACATTTGGTGTGCACACAGACAAAAAAATGAATATATCAGACATTTCTCGACATTGCAGTATGAAAATGTAGAATGGCTATCAGGTGCAAGGCATTGTCAAAACTTTTCTGCTGCTGCACAGTGCACACCCTGTGATGATAACCACCATATGCCACTGCTGATAGACCCATACAGTACTAGCAGCTAGTATGTATATGCTGCATTATCTTGCTCCTGCCTTAGTTATGAAGAGTAATTTTTTTTTTTATATGTCGGTCATCTCCCACCGAGGTGGGGTGACCTAAAAAAGAAATACTTTCACCAAATATATTATTTGTAAAAAATCTGAGCTAATTAATATTTTTAATTTTTATAGAGAGGACTCAGAAATGTGCATGCGTTACATCAATGGAACACGGTTGGATGACCGTATAGTACGGACTGATTGGGATGCTGGCTTTATTGAAGGAAGACAGTATGGTCGAGGCAAGAGTGGTGGTCAGGTATGTATCATTATGTTAATGCTGACAAGTAGATGAGAAGGATGTGCAACAGTTTTTTATATCATCATTGATGAGACATTTTGCCTGCTTAGCAGGCTTCCTCAGATGAAATACAGAGGAGACAAAAGAGGTAGTGGATATTTAGATAGCACTCCCTCGGCCTGTAGAAGTGAGTTTGAGGTACTGATGACCTCAAACTTGCATCCTTAGACAAAGGGACTAATCACCTTCACTATTTCTGTTGTCTTCTCTGTATTTTAGGATGAAGAAGCCTGTTGAGAAGGCAAACCATGTTGTCAATAAATACAGTGATACCCCGAGTTTTGTACAGCTCCCAACTCTAAGAATTATGTAAGTGTATTTTTGGGGGTCTGAAACGGACTAAATCTCATTTACATTATTCCTTATGGGAATAAATTCGTTCGGTAATGGCACTCGAACAGCTTTCTGGAATGAATTATGGCCGAAATTCGGGGTACCACTGTATAGCAAACTGGCCCATGGCCGGGTTCTGAGAGTAGTCAAACTCTGAAGCTCTTCAAAGGTAAAGGTTTGTGTTTTATGAAACTGTTCACCTCAAGGGAGGTACCTTGATGCTGGTGAGGGGGCTCTTGATCTGAAGAATTGGACATGACCTCTCCTGAAATTGAATCTGGTTCTGTTCCATCACCCTGCTGCTGTATGACTTAGGATTTAGCACTTTCCTAATGATTATAATAATTTAAAAAATATGAAATTTACATAATATAGTTTTCCATGGGAGATGCAATTGAGGTGCTTCAGGTACCAATAAAACCTCCAAAAATTTTTTTAATAGAATTGTACTTCAAAATTTTATTCTGAGTCACCATGTTACGCTTGATCCTACAAGTATTTTTCTAAGGCTGTGTGTATGTACCTTTGACAAAACATATAGTATAGTTCTTTCTTTCTTTCAACACACCGGCCGTATCCCACCGAGGCTGGGGTGGCCCAAAAGGAAAAACGAAAGTTTCTCCTTTTACATTTAGTAATATATACAGGAGAAGGGGTTACCAGCCCCTTGCTCCTGGCATTTTAGTCGCCTCTTACGACGCGCATGGCTTACGGAGGAAGAATTCTGTTCCACTTCCCCATGGAGAATATAGCATAGTTGTTTAGTTAATTTCTAGGAGTCATAAGTTGAATGAGGTTATTTTGCTTGGTTCACCTCATTTTGTGTATTAATGACGGAATGAATGCTGAAATTGGGGTTAAGATTATAGAAATGAAGCAGAGGTCTTTATAAACGGTAACCTCTCTGCTGTAATAGGAAAATTTTTTCTCTCCAGTGGATGAGTTCACACTATCATGATACATATTGAGTAAAAATTCAGTCTTGATTTTCTAAACTATGGAAATCTATTGGGTGCTCAAAACTGTATTCAAAATTTTGTTTTCATGTGGTTCCATGTTGCAGTCAGTTATATCCCATTCAATTGCATTTCATAAAAAAATTATAGCATTGTTGAGCAGAATTTCTCTTATCCTTTTGTACCAACATCCAGAACATATGTTTCCACAACAAATATTTATTGTAAACCTCAAGTGTTTAAATGTTGCTTGAACATTTGTATACTAAGCTACAAAATAAGGAATACGTTGATAAAGTGTGAAGCCGCGAGGGAGGTATCAAGGAGCAAGGAATTATGGAAGCATAGAAAAGTGAGGTGTGAAGGAAGTATAGAAGTGTAAGGGGTGAGTGAAGGAAGCGAACAAGTGTGGAGTGAGTGAAAATATGTAGGAGAAATTGGAGTTAGTGTAGAATTACAAATGAGACACTAAATGAAAGAACAGAAAACTTTGAGAAAAGTGGGTAGTGTGTGATAGCTATTTTCCTCAAATCCTCTCATAAGAGATTTAGCTCAGTCTATTGTAAACAGCATCACAGTCAAGATCAAATCAGAAAGAGCCTTAACCAAGTTAAATCTTCTCACTGTGATTGGTTAAGCTATTTTCTCAGATTTCCAAGGTGATTTTTTATGCTCAGTAGCGTATATGAAGACAAACACAAGAGGTTGATTTATCTGTATATTATGACCCCCCCCCCTTATGGGATCCTCTTCAACTATATTGACAGGCTTGTTTGTAAAACCTGATAAGGAGAGATACCCAGATTCTAAAATTGCCATTTTTCTCTTACTTAATATTATTAAAAAGTTATAAGTATTTGTTGTGCATTTTCATGATAGCTGTTAGGTTGAAGAAATTAAGTTAAAAAACCCAATTTTTTTTTTTGAATTTCTAAAAGAACTTAAGGAAAGGGTTAATGGCTATTTGGCCAAGTATGATTAAATTATTTTGTGTAAATCAAGGGTCATGTTTTGCAGGTCCGTGACGAGTATCGAACAGACTATGACAGCGGGCGAGGAGGTTATGGAAAAATTGTTCAACAGAAGATCCTTCCCAAAATACCATAAACTGATAATTTTCTACACTGGGACAACTATTAAGGGATGTGTACTGTATTCTTCCCTCAGACTCTTTAAGCAAGTAAAAATGCATGTGCAGGGATATGTTTTACTTCAGTTAGCTAAAAATTATTATAGGCTCTGTGTAAACTGCAGTTCATAGTTCACTCTGCATTTTGTATCTGGTTTTCCCATACAATACAATCTAGGTATTTTATACTGTTGATCACTTAAGGATTGTTCACTTATTTTGGACATATACTTAAGAGTATTATTTTACTGAAAAATGTGTAAGTGGTGTAATTTTTCATAAAGAACTTTAGAGAATATTATTTTCTCTGGTGATTTAAGTCAAGAAGTGAGCCATGTGTGTCTTGCATTAAATACAGCCCATTCTTTTGTTTTCACCATTACAAATATGGTAAAAGAACATACATTAATGTATTTACTAGAATGTAAACTGAAATCAGTTGGACACTGAATGAGCTAAAATGTATAAAAGATATTGCATGTTTACATATAACAAACTTGTTCTGTTGGGAATTGCTTCAATGTACAAACTTGCTGCTATCAGTATTTAATATATGCTGTATAGAATATTTGCAATGTTCATGCTTTTCTGGAAAAACAGCTAGGGAATGAGTTCTCATCTTTTGGGTTGCCCTACCTTGGGACATGGCCATTGTTTTAAAAATTTAGACCAATGACATATTTATTAAATGCACTTTGTTTTTGGAATCACACTTCCATTTTACATATTGTTGGTGTATGTCTCCAGTTTACTGTAAATGTAACTATAGTGCTCTTTTTATAATAATTATAATTTATTCATTCTCTTCAGAGTATTATCATTATGAACTTGAATGTTAAACACATCTTTCATAATTTACCTAGCAAACTGTACTTGTGTTGGAAGTAAAGAGGTTTTCAGAAATTGTTTGTGTTATTGATTTCAAATTTTTTGAGACCAAAAAGAAAAAATGGAGAATTATTAATGTTTATTTTTTTTGTCAATTCAACCATCTTCAGAAGTGAGTCTCGGGCACAGACCTACTCCTCCGCAACAATTTTTGGAAATCTATCACAATAAGCAATTCTGGTGTCAATAACTTAGATAGATCTAAGTGAGAGTGAAGGTTAAAAGGAGTAAAAAAAAATATTGGTCAGTATATAATGTACTGCATAACCCATTGTACAATAACAGTTTACTATAGAAAACTAAATGACTACATAACATATACAAGGCACTAATACAAAAATTGAATCAAGAAATGAGAATACTGTACATTTAATATTGAACTTATAAAAATATAACCTGGACTGTCTAAGGATAAAGGGGAAAAAAATGGGTAGCCTGCAATTAAAATATACCAAAAAATTGTATGAATAACTTGTAAATGAAACAAAGATAAAAAAAAAGAATGAATGCCAGAAACTGTTCTATTTAACAAGGTACAGGCAATTACACCCATTTTCATCCACATTAGTTTAAATGCAGACAACTGAACTGTAGGGTATAGACAGATATGTATCTTCCATCGTATATATATGTTCTACTCTCATGCCTATTGTAGCGCTTAAACTATTCTTTATACAAGTGCTCAGGTGAAATGCAATCTTAATGACCCTACTTGCAGTTTATATTCAATGCCTGACATCACATATTTTGAAACAAAGCTATAGTAGTCTTGTCTAAATGAGAGATTATACACATTCAGACAGTATGTGGAATAATTGTGTAAAGCACACACACAAATAACACTTTCCTATAAAATAAATTAAAATTTTGATAATTGTTAAAGCTACATCAATGGCTTCCCTAATACTGTCCCTAGATATATTAAAAAAAATGACATTTATACATATACAGCTCAATTATCACATTCCAAAATGCTGAGGGGAGCTCATTTTAAAGAATACTTCTGAGAACTGTATAGTCCAGTAGAAAAGCAATTGCAAAGAGAATCAGCAGCAGGCAGTTGACCACTCTTTTGACTTGTAGGGCAGTGATTCCCGAGCTCTCCTGAGAAGAACTTGACTCGGTATTGGTTCTCTCTCCTTCCTCCACCATTTCTGCCTCAAGATGGTTATAGTTTTGCTGAAGAGATATTTCCTTTGATTAATAATATAGGTACTATATAAGGATGAAGATATTAGTAGATACATCCTACACTTAAAATACTAAGGATACATATTTATTACATATAAAATCCATAAAGCAAATTTACCTCCAAGGAATATGGTGTCTAATTCCCTATAGCCACTGAAAGAGGGTTGCTTTTCAAAATTAATTTTAATAATTATTAAGTGGTGTATGTAATTTCATGGCCAACATGTAATGGATAAAACTGGTGAGGGATTCTTGATCCAAGGAATTGGAGTTGACCTCTTCCTTGGATCAAACCTGATTGCTTCCCATTCTCCCAGGTGGTCAGTCAGTTATGTTCCATAAGATCCCATACTAGTTGTCTACACACCAGAAGTGTGTATCTCAACATACTGAGAGCCTACATATATGCAAGTGACATGCCCGATGAAACAGATAACGAGGCTAATGAGAATAAATACAAGAGAAGAGAATAAGGCTACAAGAGGATGAGGACAACCTGCAGGAAAAGTCATATAGGTAGCCATTCCTTGTGCATGCAAATGGCCTTTCAAAACAAATCCTGTGTCATTGTTGCAAATATGGTCAGAAAGGTAGCTACTTTAATTCAATTCCAGCAAGTTCAAAGTAATGAAAACAGCAGAGAAAGTGAGAAGATTACACAATATACATGGGAATAAAGAAACTGTAAACATCATACAAGGAGAGAGATTTGGGAAAAAGCACTGCATAAAGGATATTAAGTCCATGAGCAAAAAATGCTAACTTAAGAACTGTTTTCAAGAAAGGTTGTTCTAGATGGGATGAGGAAGAGCCAGGGGACATAAGCGGCACCTGACATTAGAAATACCGTTTCATTCTTAGGGTGGTTAATAAGTGAAATGACACTAGATGAGGTGTAGAAATGATCACGGTCTTGAGACTGGAAATCGGTAAGGCCTATCAATAAGAGTTAAAAGCTGGTAGCTATTAACAGTCCCCTGCCATTACAATTGGGTAACTACACTCACTTCCCAAATACAGATGAAGCACCAACCTGGGGCATAACATTCCTGAGGCCTGGGGTGGAGCCGACTATATCCACCAACTTCCTGCCGAAGTTAGAGGTTGGGGTGGAGGAGCAACATGTCCCTCCAGTGGTGAGGAAGAGTGTACACACCAAGGAGATGGCAGTCAGGATAATTGTGCCAGAGTAGTACCGAACTGTAAGGACAAGGCAACAAGAGTTGTACAGATCTAGATTTACTCATCTTAAAAGAATCTTTGTATATTTACAAAGACAAATTTTTCAACTGTAAATACAGTCTACTATAACAAATTTATTTCCACGAGATACATCGCTTTTACAAAATTGGATGATATTACAGGTCTCACATGGAAAGATCTTTAGTTATGCAGAGCTTTATGGGCAAGCTTAAACCTAACTTACATCTAGAAGGATTATAGTATCTTACATGTATGTATTAAAACAGATTACATGAATATGAAGTAAATAATTTCATAAGTTACATGAGAATAAGAACACTCAGATTATACTATATTAAGATTTTGTTAATTCAAAATAAACTAATTAAATTACAAAATAGTGAAACTAATTATGTACCTGTATTATTACAGAATGTGATGAAATAGTATTTTACATGTAAGTATTCAAGACATTCACAGCAGAATTGATTCAGTGAGAATGACAAATAAATGGACAAATAAAATGTGAACACTGCACATGACAGTCTTAATAAAGAGCTAATTACTTTGCAACAATCTATTGTAACTTATTTTTGTTCAGGGAAAATTACAGTATTTTATATCAAATCTGATTACATTACAAGCTACTCTGATATATTTGACATTTTACCCCTGATTCTATTTTATTTTGCTAAGGGCTAGAGACTTCATGGCTTATGAGTAAGATCAGAATGAACCTCATACCATTCAAAGTAGGTACCTTGATCCATAAAATTGGAGCTACATTCCTTTTCTTGGATCAAACTGATTTACAGTAGATCTTATTCCCCATGATTTTAATGCTTCCACTGCATATGGTACATAAGTCTTGAACTGTACTGATATTTGTTAGGGTCATTTTCTGCATCAAAATACCATTGGTTTTATGGAGTGGGGCAAAATTTATACCATTTTCAGTATAGTGTTGCAGTTTTGGTAGCAATGTCCAAAAATCACAAAATAAATTAGTGTAGTAGGACCCCTGTATTCATGGATTTGGTATCCATGGTTTCAGTTATGTACAGATTACTATGGCCCAAATATTTTTTTTTTTTTTTCAACAAGTCGGCCGTCTCCCACCGAGGCAGGGTGACCCAAAAAAGAAAGAAAATCCCCAAAAAGAAAATACTTTCATCATCATTCAACACTTTCACCACACTCGCACATTATCACTGTTTCTGCAGAGGTGCTCAGAATACAACAGTTTAGAAGCATACACATATAAAGATACACAACATATCCCTCCAAACTGCCAATATCCCAAACCCCTCCTTTAAAGTGCAGGCATTGTACTTCCCATTTCCAGGACTCAAGTCTGACTATATGAAAATAACCGGTTTCCCTGAATCCCTTCACTAAATATTACCCTGCTCACACTCCAACAAATTGTCAGGTCCCAAGTACCATTCGTCTCCATTCACTCCTATCTAACACGCTCACACACGCTTGCTGGAAGTCCAAGCCCCTTGCCCACAAAACCTCCTTTACCCCCTCTCTCCAACCCTTTCGAGGACGACCCCTACCCCGCCTTCCTTCCCCTATAGATTTATATGCTTTCCATGTCATTCTACTTTGATCCATTCTCTCTAAATGACCAAACCACCTCAACAACCCCTCTTCTGCCCTCTGACTAATACTTTTATTAACTCCACACCTTTTCCTAATTTCCACACTCCGAATTTTCTGCATAATATTTACATCACACATTGCCCTTAAACAGGACATCTCCACTGCCTCCAACCGTCTCCTCGCTGCTGCATTTACCACACAAGCTTCACACCCATATAAGAGTGTTGGTACTACTATACTTTCATACATTCCCTTCTTTGCCTCCATAGATAACGTTTTTTGACTCCACATATACCTCAACGCACCACTCACCTTTTTTCCCTCATCAATTCTATGATTAACCTCATCCTTCATAAATCCATCCGCCGACACGTCAACTCCCAAGTATCTGAAAACATTCACTTCTTCCATACTCCTCCTCCCCAATTTGATATCCAATTTTTCTTTATCTAAATCATTTGACACCCTCATCACCTTACTCTTTTCTATGTTCACTTTCAACTTTCTACCTTTACACACATTCCCAAACTCATCCACTAATCTTTGCAATTTTTCTTTAGAATCTCCCATAAGCACAGTATCATTAGCAAAAAGCAACTGTGTCAATTCCCATTTTGAATTTGATTCCCCAAAATTTAATCCCACCCCTCTCCCGAACACCCTAACATTTACTTCCTTTACAACCCCATCTGTAAATATATTAAACAACCATGGTGACATTACACATCCCTGTCTAAGACCTACTTTTACTGGGAAGTAGTCTCCCTCTCTTCTACACACCCTAACCTGAGCCTCACTATCCTCATAAAAACTCTTTACAGCATTTAATAACTTACCAACTATTCCATATACTTGCAACATCTGCCACATTGCTCCTCTATCCACTCTATCATATGCCTTTTCTAAATCCATAAATGCAATAAAAACTTCCCTACCTTTATCTAAATACTGTTCACATATATGCTTCAATGTAAACACTTGATCTACACATCCCCTACCCACTCTGAAACCTCCTTGCTCATCCGCAATCCTACATTCTGTCTTACCTCTAATTCTTTCAATTATAACCCTACTGTACACTTTTCCTGGTATACTCAGTAAACTTATTCCTCTATAATTTTTACAGTCTCTTTTGTCCCCTTTCCCTTTATATAAAGGGACTATACATGCTCTCTGCCAATCCCTAGGTACCTTCCCCTCTTTCATACATTTATTAAACAAAAGTACCAACCACTCCAACACTATATCCCCCCCTGCTTTTAACATTTCTGTCATGATCCCATCAGTTCCAGCTGCTTTACCCCTTTCATTTTACGTAATGCCTCACGTACCTCCCCCACACTTACATTCTGCTCTTCTTCACTCCTAAAAGATGGTATACCTCCCTGACCAGTGCATGAAATTACTGCCTCTGTTTCTTCCTTAACATTTAAAAGTTCCTCAAAATATTCTCGCCATCTACCTAATACCTCCATCTCCCCATCTACTAACTCCCCTACTCTGTTTTTAACTGACAAATCCATACTTTCCCTAGGCTTTCTTAACTTGTTTAACTCACTCCAAAATTTTTTCTTATTTTCATTAAAATTTCTTGACAGTGCCTCTCCCACTCTATCATCTGCTCTCTTTTTGCACTCTCTCACCACTCTCTTTACCTTTCTTTTACTCTCATATACCCTTAATTTTGAATAATAATGGCCCCAAAGTGGCAAAATTAAGCTCCCAAAGCTGTGAAATGCTTCCCATTAGTGAAAAATTGCTAATTCTAGACTTATTTTGCTTAATTTATCAATTAAAGGAGGGGGTTTGAGATATTGGCAGTTTGGAGGGATATATTGTGTATTTTTATACGTATATACTTCTAAAAATGCAGTATTAGAATGTGGGGCAGAAGTTTGTGGTTATAGGAGGGTGGGGGCAGGAGGAAAGAGGAGTGATTGGTGGAATGATGAAGTAAAGGGTGTGATAAAAGAGAAAAAGGTAGCTTATGAGAGGTTTTTACAAAGCAGAAGTGTTATAAGAAGAGCAGAGTATATGGAGAGTAAAAGAAAGGTAAAGAGAGTGGTGAGAGAGTGCAAAAGGAGAGCAGATGATAGAGTGGGAGAGGCACTGTCAAGAAATTTTAATGAAAATAAGAAAAAAATTTGGAGTGAGTTAAACAAGTTAAGAAAGCCTAGGGAAAATATGGATTTGTCAGTTAAAAACAGAGTAGGGGAGTTAGTAGATGGGAGATGGAGGTATTGGGTAGATGGCGAGAATATTTTGAGGAACTTTTAAATGTTAAGGAAGAAACAGAGGCAGTAATTTCATGCACTGGTCAGGGAGGTATACCATCTTTTAGGAGTGAAGAAGAGCAGAATGTAAGTGTGGGGGAGGTATGTGAGGCATTACGTAAAATGAAAGGGGGTAAAGCAGCTGGAACTGATGGGATCATGACAGAAATGTTAAAAGCAGGGGGGATATAGTGTTGGAGTGGTTGGTACTTTTGTTTAATAAATGTATGAAAGAGGGGAAGGTACCTAGGGATTGGCAGAGAGCATGTATAGTCCCTTTATATAAAGGGAAAGGGGACAAAAGAGACTGTAAAAATTATAGAGGACTAAGCTTACTGAGTATACCAGGAAAAGTGTACGATAGGGTTATAATTGAAAGAATTAGAGGTAAGACAGAATGTAGGATTGCGGATGAGCAAGGAGGTTTTAGAGTGAGTAGAGGATGTGTAGATCAGGTGTTTACATTGAAGCATATATGTGAACAATATTTAGATAAAGATAGGGAAGTTTTTATTGCATTTATGGATTTAGAAAAGGCATATGATAGAGTGGATAGAGGAGCAATGTGGCAGATGTTGCAAATATATGGAATAGGTGGTAAGTTATTAAATGCTGTAAAGAGTTTTTATGAGGATAGTGAGGCTCAGGTTAGGGTGTGTAGAAGAGAGGGAGACTACTTCCCGGTAAAAGTAGGTCTTAGACAGGGATGTGTAATGTCACCATGGTTGTTTAATATATTTATAGATGGGGTTGTAAAGGAAGTAAATGCTAGGGTGTTTGGGAGAGGGGTGGGATTAAATTATGGGGAATCAAATTCAAAATGGGAATTGACACAGTTACTTTTTGCTGATGATACTGTGCTTATGGGAGATTCTAAAGAAAAATTGCAAAGGTTAGTGGATGAGTTTGGGAATGTGTGTAAAGGTAGAAAGTTGAAAGTGAACATAGAAAAGAGTAAGGTGATGAGGGTGTCAAATGATTTAGATAAAGAAAAATTGGATATCAAATTGGGAGGAGGAGTATGGAAGAAGTGAATGTTTTCAGATACTTGGGAGTTGACGTGTCGGCGGATGGATTTATGAAGGATGAGGTTAATCATAGAATTGATGAGGGAAAAAAGGTGAGTGGTGCGTTGAGGTATATGTGGAGTCAAAAAACGTTATCTATGGAGGCAAAGAAGGGAATGTATGAAAGTATAGTAGTACCAACACTCTTATATGGGTGTGAAGCTTGGGTGGTAAATGCAGCAGCGAGGAGACGGTTGGAGGCAGTGGAGATGTCCTGTTTAAGGGCAATGTGTGGTGTAAATATTATGCAGAAAATTCGGAGTGTGGAAATTAGGAGAAGGTGTGGAGTTAATAAAAGTATTAGTCAGAGGGCAGAAGAGGGGTTGTTGAGGTGGTTTGGTCATTTAGAGAGAATGGATCAAAGTAGAATGACATGGAAAGCATATAAATCTATAGGGGAAGGAAGGCGGGGTAGGGGTCGTCCTCGAAAGGGTTGGAGAGAGGGGGTAAAGGAGGTTTTGTGGGTAAGGGGCTTGGACTTCCAGCAAGCATGCGTGAGCGTGTTAGATAGGAGTGAATGGAGACGAATGGTACTTGGGACCTGACGATCTGTTGGAGTGTGAGCAGGGTAATATTTAGTGAAGGGATTCAGGGAAACCGGTTATTTTCATATAGTCGGACTTGAGTCCTGGAAATGGGAAGTACAATGCCTGCACTTTAAAGGAGGGGTTTGGGATATTGGCAGTTTGGAGGGATATGTTGTGTATCTTTATATGTGTATGCCTCTAGACTGTTGTATTCTGAGCACCTCTGCAAAAACAGTGATAATGTGCGAGTGTGGTGAAAGTGTTGAATGATGATGAAAGTATTTTCTTTTTGGGGATTTTCTTTCATTTTTGGATCACCCTGCCTCGGTGGGAGACGGCCGACTTGTTGAAAAAAAAAAAAAAAAAAAAACTTCTAAACTGTTCTCCATGGGGAAGTGGAACAGAATTCTTCCTCCGTAAGCCATGCGTGTCATAAGAGGCGACTAAAATGCCGGGAGCAAGGGGCTAGTAACCCCTTCTGTATATATTACTAAGTGTGAAAGGAGAAACTTTCGTTTTTCCTTTTGGGCCACCCTGCCTCGGTGGGATACGGCCAGTGTGTTGAAAGAAAGAAGAAAGACTTCTAAACTGTTGTATTCTGGGCACCTCTGCAAAAACAGTGATTATGTGTGAGTGAGTGAGGTGAAAGTGTTGAATGATGATGAAAGTATGTATTTCCTTTTTGGGGATTTTCTATCTTTTTGGGTCACCCTGCCTCAGTGGGAGACGGCCGACTGAGGATGAGGATGATGATGAGGAGGAGCATATGAAAAGACATATATTGGGTTCGCTACTATCCACAGTAGGTCTTGGAACATATCCCCCGTGGTTCGGAAGGGGGGGGGGGTTGGCGGACTACTGTACTGTATATGGAAGCGTTTATTAGAAAACATTTTGGTCCTGGGACCTTGATCACTTCTAACCACAAATATAGTTAACACGTATGGGAAATTCAGTGCATTAACCTCTGGTGGTTAAATTCATCTTGTCATGTAGAAGTAGGGACTGGGAACCTGAACTCCGAGTGAACTTTGAAATTCTTATGTTTATACATGTATATGTATTAACCTTGGAACAAAGTAGGTACTCACCTACAAGAGGTATGGGCCCACCATTAGCTGGAAGGGAGGCGAAGAGGGTGAAGTAGCAACTGATGAGCATACCCATACAAAGGAGGTGAATTATGAGGCGGGTGAAGAAGCAGTCCAGCGGCAGAGCATATGACACCAGCACCACCACCAGTATGGCTACAATCACCACAAGAATGATGGATGTTAGTGGTAGTGGGCAAGAGATATAAAAAAAATTGCAACTTTAATTGTGACAGATGTACTGAATGCTCCCTTCAATTAATTGGAGCTTTCCTCTCCTTAAATCAAACCTGATTACTTCGACCCTTCCCATTCTACAGAATTTTTATGAATATTATTAGTTTACTAAATACTATCAAATACAGGTTGCTGGGAAATAAAACTGCTTAAATTCAATCCTGCTGACTCACCTAGAGTGGACTGAGAGATGTAAGTGGCCTGGGTGCTGGCCTGACGCTGAACAACAAAGGTAAAGTCAATCTCAACATAGGGGTCGTGTCCCTCCAAATTTGTGATGGCTCGAGCTGCTGACACCTCCACCAGCTTCCATCGGTTGTTCTCCTCGAAGTTGCTCATCATCACCTACATGATAATGTAATAGTAGCTGTGACATTTATGGAGCACTTTGACCTCATTGGTCACTTAGCATTCATAAAAATAAATATCTACAACTAAAAAGTATAAAATTACAAAATAAAAGCAACAAATACAGTACTACCATACTAAATTACAGAAAAGCATCAATTAAACTATTAATTAGGAACATCAAAACACTCTCATAAGTTTCCTGAGGTCCAAACTGGCACCTCAGTAATTGTATAAACTATGACGAAGGCAGAGAGGCATAAACTATGGGCAAACCTGTTAAAATTTGGTCTAGTCAGTGGCATGTCATTAGTTATACAATGGAGGCCCCTCAAGAGAGGTTCCTCGATGCTAGTGAGGGGGCTCTTGATCTAGGGAATTGGATTATGTGCTCCAATTCCCTGAATGCCTTCTATCCCACCCCACAGGTGCTGTATAATCCCTACAGGTTTAGCACTCCCCCATGATAATGATATACAATGGAGGACAGGAGCACCTGAGAGTAAGTGGCTACCTTGCATGATTACATGGTCACAGGCAGTAGTAGTACTTCAGTTCCATGGTGGTCAGGAAGTGGAATGAATTAGACGAGATGCTGCTGTAAGTAAATACCATACACAACATTTTGTATGACCCTTGTGGATTTAGTGCTTAGTTATGATTATACACAACTTTAAGAAAAGTTATGACAAGGTTTGAAATATTAAACTTGTGAATTTGGTCATGAAAAGTTATGAGAGAAGGAGGTGGGCACAGAGAGTACCCTCAGTCAAAACCAAGAGGGTACAAACAGACAGGTACTCAGGCCCATGGCTTGGTAGGCAAGTTCTTGCTTCCTACACTAAGTGCCCATGGTTTTAATCCCTGGCAAGGGTGGAAATGCTAGGTGTGTTTCCTACACCTGCTGTCCCAGTCACCTAGCAAGCAAGTAGGTACCTGGATGATAGTCGATTGGTGTGGGCCGCATCCTGAGGGACAAGATCGAGGACCCCCAATGGAAAGATGACAGTCCTTGATGATGCACAGTTCTTGGGTGGCTAACCCTCCAGGGCTAAAAATCCAAATGAAATCCTCTCTTAAAGAGTTTTATATGAAATATAAAAGTTGACTTAAAATAAAAGACTGAGCACAGGAACTGATGCACAATATCTGCACATACAACACGAGTCAAACATCTACAGGCACAGCCAGGCTGAAAATGAAACGGACATCCAAATACCGAAAGACACATTCGTTTTATAAACAGACAAATAGTAATTCAGCTACAGACATAAGCATCCAGAGATTTGCACACCCAAGCATGGATAACAAGAAGATACATCTATTGCATTACCAACTACATTATTATAACCCCAAAGATAAGAACATGCATAGCAGAAAGCTACATCAAGAACTTTATGACCACTTGTGTGAAAATTTATTTTTCAAAGGAATGAATGAATATACTTGCACGACCGTGTGTGCATGTTTTAATTTTTCGACATCAGTGTGGAAACTGCCTCAGCAAGTCATGAAAGTTCATATTTGCTTAAAGGAAAAAAAAAAAAAAATACTACGAGAAAGTTGAACAGCACTCGCCACAAGTGGGGTGCCTTGATGCTGAAGGGCTCTTGATTCAAGGAACTGAGCTCTTCATTTGAATCAAATCCAATTTTCTCCCATTCCCTAGGTATTGTATGACAACCCTCACTGGTTTCGCTTCACCATGAATATAATCTTAACCCAATATAAACAGACTGTAAAGTTTGTGCTGATTGGGTTATAGTATTCAGTAACACATGCTGAGCAATATTTATTTGAAGGATAAATCTTATTATTAGTATCATTATTATTATTATTCAAGGGAAGCACTGCCATCGTAAGGGCCATACAGTGTCTAGGGAAATAGGAAGCATTCAGGTTTGATCCAGGGAATGGGGGGGATGGCCCAGTTCCTTAGATTAAGAGCCTCTCACCAGCATTAAGGAACTAAAGGAAGAGAGCCACAGTTCTTAAATATAGTCACCAGGAGTACCCTCCCCCTTGCACATACCCCATTGCTGGTGTTGGTGGGCATGACCTGAATATCGATCTGCTCGCCGTGGTAGGTCCAGGACCCCATCCTCACCAGACACTCGTGTCGGTCACTGGGCCACTTACTCAGGTCAAGGTCACACCTGACCACCAAATGTGTGGGAGGGAACCAGTAGGTCTGACCTAAATTGTTGGCCAGCACGGGGACACGACCAAATGGGTGAACATCAGAACCCAGCGCACTGTGGGACATAATTCCTTATTGTCTACTGACTGACACACACACAAGCCGAATAGGTAAAATTTGTCAATTAGCAAGAACTCATTTAAAATTAAGTCCTTTCAAAAATTTTCTCTTATATGTTTAAAGACATATTTATGTTAATGTAAAAATTAATAATTTTGTACCGAAAGAACCTTAGAAAACTTACCTAACCTTATTATAACAAGTGCAATTTAATTTAGCTTAATCCAACTAAATATATTTTAGATAAGTTTAAAGTAATTTAATAAACGAACACAATGAAATGCATTTTGTTCGTTAGGTTCAGAATGTTTTTGCGAAATTATTGCATACACAAATTTTCGCTTGCCTTTTTCGGCAAGAAGAGCGTTGTTATTTAATCCAAAATCACATGTTTTACCTATTCAGCATGACATTATATATATATTCCTCAATGAGACAGTTAACCTCCAAACCGGAAAGGGCAACTGTACATTTCAATCTGTTTATATTATTACTTTATATTTATTTGGACTGTAAAACCCTCCAAGGTTCCTTAGCACATGGAATGGTGGAAATTCAGCCTTTCCTGAATCATTATCAAATTCACAGACCCATGATAGGCTATGCAAACTTATACTACATTTCAATTTGTGTATTTATCTAACCATTTTTTAAGATTCCTACAGTGTACGCTTCATTGATACGGCTTCAGAGTTTGTTCAAATCATCCACACTTATTGCCAAACCAGAGGTTTTCTATATAATTTCTAAATGCTTGAGGATGGACTGAAACGTTGCCCAGTTGTTTTTTTAATTTGTGGATCTGATGTGAACTGTTCCAACCACCATATTTAATAGCAACTTATTTTCCACAGAAACTTATTCATCTAAAATTAAAAAAAAAAATAATGGACAAAGTACAGTGGACCCCCGCTTAACGATCACCTCCAAATGCGACCAATTATGTAAGTGTATTTATGTAAGTGCGTTTGTACGTGTATGTTTGGGGGTCTGAAATGGACTAATCTACTTCACAATATTCCTTATGGGAAAAAATTCGGTCAGTACTGGCACCTGAACATACTACTGGAATGAAAAAAGTTCGTTAACCGGGGGTCCACTGTATTTTACTCACACCTGTGAATAATTAACGTAGTTTACAGGATCTTTTCCCCGGTCATGTTGATATACAGGCAGACACTGCTGTGCTATCAGTAGTACATGACCTCCCAGTTTCATATAGAGGTGCTCCATTCACTGACTATGTATTTTGCTGTAATTGCTACCCACCTTCGCACCTGTTGGTCTGATCTGCTCCACAATAAACTACATTCTATTAAACCGAGTACAGGTATCTGGCCGTCTTCTTGTCATCAATGTCGAGGTTGGGAGACTAATCTCTCCCGTCTTCGCATCAGCCACACTCGTCTTACTCATGGGTATCTCATGGAGAGGCACCCTGTTCCACTCTGAGAATTGTCAGGTTCCAGTTTCTGTTACAATTCTGTTGGACTGCCCACTCTATCAATGAGCACGCAGAATTTACCTCCAACGTTGTCACTGCTCTACTGCCCTTACATTACCTTCCCTTCTTGCTGATGGACCCTCCTTTAACCTAGACTCTCTCGTTGACTTTTGACAGCGACTGATTTACTGCACAAACTCTGATGATGATGAAGCTTCTAGTACTTTCAAGGCAGGTGAAATTGCTGACCTAGAAAATGTACAGAGAACCTTCACGGCGCGCATAACGGAGATAAAACACCTCAATTACTGGGAACGCTTGAAGTTCCTGAACCTGTATTCCCTGGAACGCAGGTGGGAGAGATACATGATTATATATACCTGGAAAATCCTAGAGGGACTAGTACCGAACTTGCACACGAAAATCACTCGCAACGAAAGCAAAAGACTTGGCAGACGATGCAACATCCCCCCAATGAAAAGCACGGGTGTCACTAGCACGTTAAGAGACGATACAATAAGTGTCAGGGGCCCAAGACTGTTCAACTGCCTCCCAGCATACATAAGGGGGATTGCCAATAGACCCCTGGCAGTCGTCTTCAAGCTGTCACTGGACATGCACCTAAAGTCGGTACCTGACCAGCCGGGCTGTGGCTCGTACTTTGGATTGCGTGCAGCCAGCAGTAACAGCCTGGTTGATCAGGCTCTGATCCACCAGGAGGCCTGGTCACAGACCGGGGCGTTGACCCCCGGAACTCTCTCCAGGTAAACTCCAGTACTACTTACAGTGCTTTCTATCTAAATCTCTTGCTACACTCTACCCCTGCATTATCCACTGCCCCGCTGCACTCCATGACCTAATAATCATCCCTCTCCCTTTTGCTACCCAATACCCCTTCATCCTTCCCTGCCCAGCAGCTCTGTATGACCCTTGTAGATTTAACACTTCTTTATTATAATAATAATACAGGAGCTTTACCTGTTGTAGACGGTAATGTCTGGCATCCAGATGTCCTCATCATTAAAATGAAGTCTGTCAATGTTAAGGTAGTTCTTGGGCTCCCATGTGAGATACTCATCCACCCATGTCTGGAAGCATAAACTTACATTACATACACCATGAATGCGGGTATATACACTTAAGAGGTGACTTTTATTATTTTATTTATTATCACACTGGCCGATTCCCACCAAGGCAGGGTGGCCCGAAAAAGAAAAACTTTCACCATCATTCACTCCTTCACTCTTGCCAGAAGGGTGCTTTACACTACAGTTTTTAAACTGCAACATTAACACCCCTCCTTCAGAGTGCAGGCACTGTACTTCCCATCTCCAGGACTCAAGTCCGGCCTGCCGGTTTCCCTGAACCCCTTCATAAATGTTACTTTGCTCACACTCCAACAGCACGTCAAGTATTAAAAACCATTTGTCTCCATTCACTCCTATCAAACACGCTCACTTATAAAGTAAAAAATTAAGACTAAACAACTCTCTCGAAACAGATAGGTTCGAATTTATGGCAAGCCAGTCCTGGCTTAGCAAATTTGAAGTCCATCCATACTCTGAGTTACACTGTATAAAAAAACAAGATGCATGTACCTCTCAACATGTACTTAAACAAAGCTTTATTTCTATAAAGTGGAGTACAATATACAACTGATACTGGAGTAACTGACATGTATAAAGTACTTTATAAAAAGTCCCTTGTTAATATTTTTATTATGTGCCCCATACCCATCCTGTGGGCAGTAATCAGAAAATCACTGAGGCACATAATGGATCCAGGAACTGGGCTGCAAAGTTATGATAGCTAAACAAATACAGTGGTAATTAACTATGTATTTACATGTTTATATCTGGTCAGCAGCCGCTCAGGGGCACGACTACTGAAAGGCCCCAAATTGTTAATTAATGTTTCTTTAAAGTTTTGTAACATTTGACAGTTTGTGGCCGCTCGGGGTGCCTGCACGTCAAAAATATTTATTTGCATATCAACAAGCCATTTTGATTCTATAATCAAAACGGCATTTTTTTTTTTTGTCAATTTTTTTGTTGTAAAAAAAGTCAACTCATACAACATGCTCACAGGGGGGCCAACAGCAGACATACAATCAAACTGTTCATCTGGCTCTACAATTAAAATTTACTTTAGACAAGTGCAATACCTCACATCAGCAAGGGAACCCCCAATGTTCCGCTTAGGACCCTTAGACTTCTAAATCCGCTACTGGGAGGTCATAACACCTCTGCGGAACATAAGTCTTAACATTATGTACAATCAGACTCAAGTGTCAGAATTCTGTACTGGGGGGGGGGGAGCTCATGGGGGCTATCTTGGTTCGAAGAGGGTTATAGGAGACTTATTTTGAAGCAGCGTTATTACTATACTTGGTGGGTGAAGCTTCACCCCTCCCATGGCACTGCCACTGTGTGCCCTCCACAAGTTACATCAGCTGTTACACAGTCTAGATGTCACAACACTACCTCTGTGTAGACCAGAGGTCCCTCTGCACAGTTCAGAGATCATAACCACTCATATATAGTCCAGAGGTCAGAAGAGCAGCTTCGTATATTCGAGGTCACAACAGTACATGTTTACACTCCAGAGGTCATAACAGTATATTTGTACGGTTCAGGAGTCACAACGGAACCTCTACATGGTCCTGGGAGCCATACAATGAGAAACTTTTCTGCACAGATACCTGTACTTCGTAAGGTTTAAAATTCATTAACCGTATGAGGGTTATTAAGGTTGCATTTCATTTACGTCCTACCATTAGGAATAATTTAATCATTAAGTGATTAAAATAATTTATCTATTCAAGTAGTATTTAGGAAGAAAATTACATTACTGATGTAATGCATATATGCTATATACGCAAGATAAAATTATTATATACAAAATGATTATAACTGTGACCATAATTTTTAATGGGGGTGACCCAGTAAGCCAGTGGAAGGCCTCGGTCAGATGACCAAAAGCTCCAAGGCGGGTCATTAAGACCCGCGTCAGGAAACACTTGTCCTGTTTCCTGACGAACCTTACCTAACATTATCATTATATATAGACTGAAATGTTAAAGTAATCGTAGGGTGTAGACAAAGTAACTAGAAAAATAACTTACCATTATTGACCAAGCGCTCACAGACAGCTCCTGACGTTCGTCATCCTAGTGAGAAAAAAAATGTAAAAAATAATTGCAATAGTGATTTATACATAAATATATAAAGACGCGTATATATATAGTGATTATTTGCCTTATCACAGTAATGTATAATTTACTAATTCTTTACTATATTACAGGAAAAAGAACATGCACCATTTTCCTGTAAAAAAAATGAAACCGTATGTACTCGTACATAGCAACAGTTAGTATGTCATTATTAAAAAAAATTAACAAATAGAGAATTCCAAGAGAAGAGAAAGATACCGACAGAGTTTTAGAGAAAGTAAGGAGGTCGAGATTGGAGACTCACCAGGTCAATATAGTTGAGTGAAAGGGCGAGGTAAACTGTGGTGTTGTGGGTGTGGTCCCGCACAGGTCTTGAACCTTTGCTGTAGCCTTTGAGTTTGTCTGCATACAACCTTGCGATCCAGTTGTCCTTGGCGAAGCTGTCCTGGTCCGGTGCGTTCTCACCTGTGGAAAAAATGTGGGTGAGGGAGACAGACAAGGGAGGCGACGATATATATTTTTTTTTTTGCAAAATAGGATACATCAGCAATGTGGTGCCACATTCTATATAATACATAGTGTAAACAGAAGCTAGCAGTTTCCTCCTATCATCTTCAATCACACAAGGTGGGTTATATATAGTGTTGCAGTCTGTCAGACTGAGAGACGAGAATGGGGAAAGTGACTCAATTAAGGTGGAGAGGTGAGGGTAAAGGGGACGAGTCTTTTTTTTTTTTTAACAAGTAGACACATCAACAGTGTGCTGCTACCCTACTTTTATATCATAATACAAGTGAAAACAAAATCTTGCTATAAATCCCATCACTCCAGATGGGGCTCACACGTACTGAAATCCTTCAGCCTGAAGTGGACATCAGTGAGGCAACGAGGATATCCTCAAGCATTCCAGCAAGGGTTCATTACATACGGGAGCTTCAAAGGTTTCCCTCCAGCATAGCTGGAGTTATTATCACTTGGAAATTACCATCTTTGAATAAAGAACTATTCAGCAGCATTAGGGCACCCCCCAACTGCAGGGGGTGAGGGATATAGGTGAAGGAAAGGTGCGAGGAGAGAGATGCGGGGTGCCAGCACTGTACACTATACATGTAGCACGATGAATCTTGCTGATAACATGTCATATAGCGGAAGTGATTTACTGATCTTACTACAAAAAAATCATAATTTAAGTCCCAAACAAGTGTCCATCAATATATATGACAGCGTTCTGAAGCTATTTATTTTTTTGACTAGTAACATTTAGCACAATAATTACCCGTTAGTATAGAAGTGACAGGAGCAGCTGCGTCCGTGGTCCCGTCAGAATGAATTTTGTATATAGATTTTTAAATTAACAAGGGGTGTTTCACTACCTATTATATATTTGAGTTTGCGAGGACTGGAGAGGCTAAGCTCTAGCTCTCGTTTAATGGTTATGCCAGGCGGCCTCTTCAAGGGGGGCTCCTTGTTGTGGTGAAGAGGCTCTTGGTCTGAGGAATCAGACCTGTCGGTCTCCTTCCTCAGACCGAACCTAATTACCCCCCAATCCCCCCCTCCCCTTTTTTCCTTTCCTCCTCCTCCTCCCCACCCCTCCCTTTTGCCCTTCCTCTTTTTGGCCTTTGGGATTTCTCCCACAGGCGCGCTAGTTCCTAGGTAGGGGAAAGGATACCGGGGTCCATCCCATTCCGTTGAGGTTCTTGGCGGTGGCGTAGTTTGCCGTGGAATCTGGATCGCCTGGGGATGTCCCGATCCCTCTCCGGTATCCCGGAGTAGCTTTGGGTGTCTTTCAGGCGACGGGTGTATCTCTGGAAGCCACCTTTCGGATTCCGGGGGTGGTGGCCGAAGGAGGTATGCTTTGTGGCAGATATCCGGCCACCCTCTCGTTTGTCCACCGAGGTAGCTCGGCAGATGTGAGGTTGCTATCCCGGATTGCTGGCTTACTGGCATGAAGGGTAGGGTATGGCACGGGTTCCATGCTGCATCTGCGCTACTAGCGGTGCTGAGGTCCTCTTGGGCGCGGAGGGATATTTCTTGCCCTTTCATTCCTCCTGGGAACTATTCCTTCCCGCTCCCCCCTTTTTTTTTCTTTTTTTTATTTTTATTTTTTCTTCTTTCTTTTTTTCTTAAAAACAAAAAACAAAGGAGTAACCTAACCATGGAGAACCCAATCCATAAACCCACTACCCCGGGGCCCCTTCTTGATACCGCACCCCATTCTGACCCTGCCTTGTTTTTAGACCACTCTTTGGACACTCCTGATGCCCCTGTACCTCTTGCTGGTGCTGTTTCCTCACCTACTTCAGGTACCGGGGCTTCGACTGACTCCTTCGATTTGTCTGACCTCCGCTCTCCTTTGACTATGCTTCCGGCCTCTTCCTCTACGGTATGGCAATTTTCGAATCGCCAGCCCATTTCACGCCGGACCAACTCCAGTTCTACTCCTAAACTCCAACGTCAATCTCCTGGAGTTTACCTGGAGAGAGTTCCGGGGGTCAACGCCCCGCGGCCCGGTCTGTGACCAGGCCTCCTAGTGGATCAGAGCCTGGTCAACCAGGCTGTTACTGCTGGCTGCACGCAAACCAACATATGAGCCACAGCCCGGCTGGTCAGGAACCGACTTTAGGTGCTTGTCCAGTGCCAGCTTGAAGACTGCCAGGGGTCTGTTGGTAATCCCCCTTATGCATGCTGGGAGGCAGTTGAACAGTCTCGGGCCCCTGACACTTATTGTATGGTCTTTAACGTGCTAGTGACACCCTGTTTTCATGGGGGGATGTTGCATCGTCTGCCAGTCTTTGCTTTCATAGTAAGTATTTTCGTTGCAAGTTCGTATAGTCCCTTTAGGATTCCCAGGTGTATAAGAAGATAAGATTTGTACGGTATTTTTACCCGGAGGGTTGCCACCAGGATAACCCAAGAAGTCTGTGCGTATCGCCCAGGACTTAATTATTTCCATTGGGGTCATTAATCTTGTCCCCGGATGCGACCCACACAGTGCTAACACCCAGGTACCTATTTCGTGCTAGGTGAACGGACAACAGGTTGTAGAAACGTCGATGTTTCCACCGCCGGGGAATCGAACCCGGCCTCGTGGTGAAGCGGGAGCTTTAGCCACTCAGGCACGGGCCACTTAAATTTTAATGGGTAACTAAAACCTTTAAAAAATAATCAACAAAAAATCCACAACCTCATGTATCTCTCCCGCCTGCATTCCAGGGAATACAGGTTTAGGAACCTCAAGCGCTCCCAGTAATTGAGGTGTTTTATCTCCGTTATGTGCGCCGTGAAGGTTCTCTGTACATTTTCTAGGTCAGCAATTTCATCTGCCTTGAAAGGTGCTGTTAGTGTGCAGCAATATTCCAGCCTAGATAGAACAAGTGACCTGAAGAGTGTCATCATGGGCTTAGCCTCCCTAGTTTTAAAGGTTCTCATTATCCATCCTGTCATTTTTCTAGCAGATGCGATTGATACAATGTTATAGTCCTTGAAGGTGAGATCCTCGGACATGATCACTCCCAGGTCTTTGACGTTGGTGTTTCGCTCTATTTTGTGGCCAGAATTTGTTTTGTACTCTGTTGAAGATTTAATATACTCGTGTTTACCATATCTGAATAATTGAAATTTCTCATCGTTGAACTTCATATTGTTTTCTGCAGCCCACTGAAAGATTTGGTTGATGTCCGCCTGGAGCCTTGCAGTGTCTGCAATGGAAGACACTGTCATGCAGATTCGGGTGTCATCTGCAAAGGAAGACACGGTGCTGTGGCTGACATCCTTGTCTATGTCGGATATGAGGATGAGGAACAAGATGGGAGAGAGTACTGTGCCTTGTGGAACAGAGCTTTTCACCGTAGCTGCCTCGGACTTTACTCTGTTGGCGACTACTCTGTGTTCTGTTAGTGAGGAAATTATAGATCTATGATTTTAAGCAGAAGCGTGCGATCGCTCGCCGTGTCATCCGTGATGCTAAACGCACTTGCTGGCGAGACTATGTTTCCACCATCACCTCTGCTTCCTCTATGAGTGCAGTCTGGAAAAAAGTGAGGAAATTGAGTGGTAAATACTCTCCTGACCCGGCTCCTGTTCTAACGGGTCGCCGGTATTGATGTAGCAAACCCTCTTGGATGTTGCCATTGAAACTGGCACTCATCTGTCCGTATTTCCCGGGGGCTCCATCTATGCCCCCTCGTTTCTTCCTCAAAGTCTAGCCCAGAGAGTTATACCCTTGACTTTTCTTTCTTCTCTCAGAGAGAAAAGTATAATGTGCCTTTTACCACTTCAGGAACTGTGGCAACACATCTCAGCTTGCCGACATATGCGGCACTGGACCTTACACATTCATATTCAAATGTTTACAACATTTACATTCAGTCACCCTTGTAGTTCTCTACACCTCTTCAAAATCTTTATTTGGGCACAAGGAGTTCTTCCGCCGTCCCCAGCTGTGGAAATCTGCCATTGTCTCCCTTTCCGCAAGCCGGGTACTACAGGACATGAATGCCTCCCACTATCATCCCCAATCGCTCTTACTTGTCAGTTTGCAATGTGATGGAAAGTCTGGTAAATCCCGCGCCATTAATGTGGTATTTAGAGACACACAACATCTCTCCCCCCAAAACTTTCACCCCTCCGCTAGTCAATATGGGCTTTCGTACAGGGCCGTCTAATACATAGACCCCTTACTTATACGCTTGGATACATACGTTCGTAATGCCTTTGCAATAATCACTCCACATCAGTTATTGCCAATTTTTTGACCTTGAGAAGCATATACACAACTTGGAGGTATAATATTTTGGCCCAAGCCCACTCCTTAGGCCTCCGAGGCAATCTACCATCCTTCCTTAAGAACTTTTTAACTGACAGACACTTCCCTGTTCGAGTCAATAATGTGCTTTCCCCGGACTTTGTCCAAGCTGAAGGTGTCCTCAGGGATGTGTTCTGAGCACAACACTTTTTCTTCTCCTTGCTATAAAATCTGGAGTTTACCTGCAGAGAGTTCCGGGGGTCAACGCCCCCGCTGCCCGGTCTGTGACCAGGCCTCCATTACTTGAATTATATAACATGAGCTATGTAACTGGGGAGCTCCCTCAATCTTGGACCAACAGCCTCATCATTCCAATTCCTAAGCCCAATCAACAAAATGCATTTCGCCCAATATCTCTTACTAGCTGCTTGTGTAAAACATTTGAGAGAATGATTCTTAATCGTCTCATGTACAGAATCAAACAATTTTTGTCTCCCCGGTTACATGGTTTCATGCATGGAAGGAGCGTGCATCATTGCATAGCCACCTTTCTCACCCTGCACACTGACAGCTCATACACTAACCTTCCTTGAACTTAAATCCGCTTTCGATGTAGCCAACGACATGTAATCATTAGTGAACTTGCCAGAATGGATGTTGGAGGAGGCTTCTCCGCTGGATTAAAGCTACCTGTCCAACGAAAATCGTCTGTGTTGTTTCC